GCGGCCGCGGCTGTACTTCGTTCCGCTCCTTGAGCAGGTTCTTGGTCTCCCGCCTTCTACTGGTCCTGCTCCTCCCTTGGAGTGTCCGCAGCCTGTCCAGTCGCAGTCACAGTTACAGCCTGCCTCCCCCCTACCTGCTCCTTCTCCCTACACTGGTCCTACTGGAGGTCCTGCTGAGCGTCGTGAGCCTGCGTTTCGTCCTGCGTCGCCTGTTCGTCCTGCTCGCACTAGTCGTCGTGCTCCGCGTCCTCCTGCGGTCCCAGGCACACACCAGATGGCACTGCGTCCTTCCACTGCTCCCCTGCGTGTCCCGTTGCCGTCTCCTCCAGAGTCCTCTCTTCTTGCTCTTGCTGACCCGGAGTCTGACTCTCTTCGTGCTACCAGTCCTACTGTCACGCGTCTCCTGGCTACTGTTGTCACTGACCCTTCCTTTGAGTCCACTGCTGCGTCTGCCTTAGTGGCTGAGCTTGTCGACTTTGCTGCTCGCTGTCGTCTCGACTACGCCGCTAGTCTTGTTGCTGAGTCTGAGTCTGTCTGTCCTCCGTCCGTCGGGGGTGAGTGTGCTCTTAGCACGGACGTCCTTGAGGACAGGCAGGAGGAGTTCCAGTGTTTTGCTGCTGCTTTGCCTCATCTCGTGTCCACGCTGATTGCCCCTGAGGGAGACCCGGATGCACCAGACATCCCGACTCCTCGATCGTACGCTGAGGCGATCGAGGGTCCCTACTCCTCTCAGTGGCAGTCAGCCATGGACGCAGAGATGGCTTCCTAGAAGTCCACAGGCACCTACGTCGACGAGGTTCCCCCACCTTGGGCGAACATCGTCAGTGGCATGTGGATTTTCAGGGTGAAGCGGCCGCCGGGTTCTCCGCCTGTCTTCAAGGCGCGTTACGTGGCTCGAGGCTTCAGTCAGCGGCAGGGAGTTGACTACTTTCAGACCTTCTCTCCCACCCCGAAGATGACCACTCTTCGGGTGCTGCTGCACATAGCCGCTCAGCGCGACTACGAGCTCCACTCTCTTGACTTCAGCACAGCTTTCCTTCAGGGCAGCTTGCACAAGGAGATCTGGCTGCGCCGCCCACCTGGCTTCACTGGGTCGTTTCCTCCTGGTACCCAGTGGAGCCTCCGGCGGCCAGTCTACGGTCTCCGCCAGGCGCCCCGTGAGTGGCACGACACACTGAGGACTACACTTGCGGCTCTTGGGTTTGCTCCTTCTACTCCCGACCCGTCGCTGTTTCTGCGCACCGACACCTCTTTGCCGCCGTTCTACATCCTCGTGTACGTCGACGACTTGGTCTTTGCCACTGCTGACACTGCTGGACTAGCCCACGTGAAGTCCGAGCTGCAGAAGAGACACACGTGCACAGACCTGGGTGAACTGCGCAGCTACCTTGGCTTGCAGATCACCCGGGACAGAGCACAGCGCACCATTACCCTGACTCAGTCACACATGGTGCAGCAGGTCCTTCAGCACTTCGACTTCACGTACTCCTCGCCTCAGGCCACTCCTCTGTCTACTCGCCACTCGCTCTCACCTCTGCCTTCGGATGAGTCCGTATAGCCGAGTGGCCCGTACCCAGAGCTTGTTGGCTGCCTCATGTACCTGATGACCTGCACTCGACCTGACCTTGCATACCCTCTTAGCATCTTGGCACGCTATGTTGCTCCTAGGAGACACCGACCAGAGCACATGGCTGCAGCGAAGAGGGTGTTGCGCTACTTGTGTAGTACGTCGGGCATGGGGCTAGTGCTTGGAGGGCGACGTCGAGTGGTCCTCACAGGTCACGCAGGCGCTTCTTGGGCTGACGACCAGGCTACGCAGCGGTCCTCACAGGGTTACACCTTCAGCCTTGGCTCCGGCTCTGTTTCGTGGCGGTCTACCCGCTCGTCTTCTGTTCTCGGCTCCAGCTGTGAGGCTGAGATCTACGCGGGGGCCATGGCTGCACAGGAGCTACGCTGGCTCACCTACCTGCTGACTGACCTAGGAGAGCAGCCTCGTTCTCCTCCAGTTCTGTACGTAGACAACAAGGCCATGCTGGCCTTGTGTCGGGAGCACAGACTGGCGCACAGAACGAAGCACATTGCTCTCCGCTACTTCCTTGCTCGTGAGCTGCAGCAGCGTGGTCAGCTGCGCCTTGCTTATGTGGCCTCTGAGGCCAACACTGCTGATATCTTCACCAAGGCACTTCCGCCTGGTGATCATCAGCGCTTCTGTACTATGCTAGGTCTTGTGCCTACTTGGCCTCACTTGCTCACTTCTTGACCTTGCTTGTACTGTGATCTTTCTATACCTGCACTTGCTTGTTTACCTTTATATATGATCTTGCTTGTGAACTGGCCTTTTGGCCTTGCTCTTGTGCTCGGATTGTGTGGTGACGTTGTGATCCACCCTGAGCTTGCTTTGCTTTGCTTGACTGGTCTTGTGACCTCTTGTTCTCCCCCACTTTGCCTATGGGGGTGTGTCAAACTCATATTGTATAGCTTGTCTAGGCTATAGTGGGGTAGACACTATGGGGTACAGTTTCCTAGGGTTTCCTACTTGTACCCAACCTTGTGCTAGTTCATTCATTCTTGTTTCTTCACAGCTGAGTGATTTGCGAGATGAGGCAACCCTCTAGCTCAAAAAAGTGACTACTAGGCTCAGCTGGCTTGTCAAGAACAGGAGCCGTGAGTCCATGGTCAACAGCAAGTGGGGTGGACTATGGAGAAAAGAAGCAAATGTCGAACCATGCGAAGATCCGCTGCACCATGTGCGACTAAGTCAGTGTAATGGTGCGAGCTGTTCTATATCGAGTGATCTGCAAGCCAAGATAGCGTTGCAATTCACCCAGGTCAGTGCAGGTGTGTCTCCTCTACAATTCGGCCTTCACTGAGGCTAGTGCAGCTCTGTCGGGAGTAGCAAACATTGGGCCGTCGACGTAAGCAAAGATGCAGAAGGCTAGGGCAAACAAGGAAGAAAGGGTCAGCCGAGATAGAGAGAAGGGTCATTTGCGGGAGCAGCAGAGAAGATTAGGAGGGCGGGCGGGGTCAAGTGCAGGGGCGGAACGGGAGGCCTGCATGAGGGCATTATGGAGCCAGTCGATGGGCGGACGTAGGCGGTAGTGCAGGGGGGAGACAGCGAGCCGACGAAACTCGCCATCGTATTCGTCGTGTCCGTCGCGCTGAGTGACATGACGAGCGCACGAGATTTGCACCAGCATGCACATGAAGGGGTGATGAGGGCCATGACTAATAAAAAAGTTGAACAGCCTAGGACGAAACCATGCTCGATACCATGTCAAATAACGGACCAGGTGTTAAGCTTAGGAACGTTGAGGGAGTTAGGGTTGTGAGAAAGTTGGGAAAAAAAAGTTTCAATATAAGATTGAGAGTACAAATAGAAACAAGAAAGCAAACAAGAAGGTGCACCACCAACGTTATATAGAAACAATTTGCTACATGCAATCACATATAAATATATGCAAATATCTCTTCAGACAATATGCTTGCCCGGCGGTCGCCTACAACACGCTGCTCGAAGACACGCAACCCGACGTCGGCCCGCCCGAGCTCGACCCCGACGTGCACGCCGTCCCGGATCATTGTTAGGATATCGCGACCATGACGGTCAAGGAGGCACTGGCGAGCTGGAAGGGCAAGGCGGTGAAAGCGGCGATGGACGAGGAAATTCGGAGCCTCCTCATTTACGGCACGTGGGAGCTTGACGAACAGCACAACACGGTCGCCCACAAGAAGGCACCCCTGGTGAAAGGCTTCACGCATGTGTTAAGCACTACGTCACGTTGCGGACCTTCCTAAGCATCGTAGTCATCCTCGAACCGCATCTGGTGCAGCTCAACATGAAGAACGCCTTCCTCCAAAGCAAGCTCGACCGAGTTCTCTACATGGACCAGCCTGACTACTGCAATGACAGCACCAGCCGTGTGCGCTATCTGCTGAACAGCTTGTAAGGTCTCAAGCGGTCACCACTGCTGTGGTACTTGGGACTCGACGATGTGCTGATCGGCGCCAGGTGGGGCGAGAGCCAGGTCGACGAGGCTCTTTACTTCAAGGTCTCCGACAACGGAGTGGTGTACTGGGTGGTCGTCTACGTCAACAATATGCTCGCCGCCAGCAGCAACCTTGAAATGCTGAAAGAGTTGCGAGATTTTCGGAAATCGCTGCGCGAGATCAGCCCGGCGAGGAGATTGTGCGTGACCGACTTGCGCAGAAGTTCTGCCTCCACCAACAGTCCTATGTTGACAAGCTGCGTATGCGCATCATCGACGAGGAGCAGACTGGTCGGCGTCTGAAGACGCCGGTCTATGTCAACGCCTACGCAGAGCTGACGTTCAACGACTAAGACTTCCAGATCGTGTGGAAGAGGAGTACCGATAGAAGGTCGGCTGCTGCAGCTACTGCTGCTGCTGTTATTGTTGTTGCTGTTATTGTTTCTGCTATTGTTGCTGTTGTTGTTGATGCTGTTGTTGCTGCTATTGTTGTGATAATTTGTTTGACCTCATTGGGACCATGAGTATTCAAGGTGCCCCAACACCAGTATGAGGGCCTACTCGTTGACAATTGACGCTCATCAGATGTGGCCCAGGCGCTCCATGTAAATTGCAAATAGTACTGTATGCATCAAATAATGGATAAATCAAACAATAAATATACGGATACCATGTAGAAGTAAACAGGGACAGTGACGCAGATACAATTACTGATGATTGGAGTTACCAACCATTTAGTGTTGAGAGCACTTGCAATAGCAGCCTCTCATCGAGTGGCTTCTGCACTGCACCATCCATGCCAGCCTCTGTGGCACGTGCGACAGCACTTCTGACCACATCTGCCGGCATGGCCACCACATGAATGCGTTGCTGCGACTGCCAAGCTCCCTGTCCCATTTGCACGCCTGCTTGGGCAGTGTGGGCCTCAAATGCGCGCAGGCAGGCGGTGGTCTGGAAGCCGTCGAGGCCCGGCATGAGGAGGTCCATGAGCACGAGGCGGAAGGAGTGGGTTGCCTACAGCAGGCGCAGCGCCGCCTCGCCCGACTCTGCCAGCGCCACCTCCGCCCCGTACTGCGCCAGCGTGCTCGCTGCCACCCGCCGGTTGATCACGTTGTCGTCCACCACCTGTGTGTGGGGGGTTCAGGGGGGTTGAGAGGGGTGAGAACAGAGGGACGGAGGTGCCGTTGTCGCCCACTACTTGCTGGATAGAGAGGGTACATGGAGGGGTGCATGGCGTTGTCGTCCACCACCTGCACAGGCAGAGCCAAGGGCATGCAGCGGGGTTGAAAGGGGATGAGAACGGAGGCATGGAGATGCCATGCTCTTGTCGCCGGTTGATGGAGTTGTCGTCCACCATCTGCATAGCACATGGGTAGGTCCAATAGAGCCCCGAATTGGATGAGAACGGAAGGACGGAAATGACATGCCACCCGCCGGCTGATGGCGTTGTTGTCCACCACCTGCACAGCACATGGGGTACAGGGACGGGTGTGAGAGAGGGGATGAGCATGGAGGGCAGAGATGGCATGCAGTTGATAGCGTTGCTGTCTACCACCTGGTGCAGCCAGGCACGAGGGGCATGCAGGGTGGGTGTAGTGGGGATGAGAACGCAGGGGCGGAGTTGGGGGGGGAAAGGAGAAGGGCTGACACACATAGGAAGAGAAGACCACAGATCTTGCTTTCAGCTGTGTGAGGGAAGGAAGGTAAAGGAAGCTTTGTGGGAGGTATGAGCAGGTTGAGCACATTGCTGTCCACCCACGGGACAAGGAGAGGGCGGGGTGGGTTGTGGGAGGGTGGTGAGGAGAAGGCAGGGCGAGTTGTGGGGAGTGCGGTGAGTAAAAACAGACAAGGAGACACAGGAGCATTTTGCGGCTAGCCTGCATAATCAACATCCTGCAGCAACCCCTACAAAAACACGATAATTCTTCAGGTCTAGAGTCGGTCGGCTTAAAAGACTTTGTCCTTCATCTCACCAAAATTGCCTTGCCCTGCAGCAGCTCCTTCAAACAATCCCTCACACTATTCATCTCCACAACCCTTGGCACAGCTGTGTCATCGGTCGCAGCAGTAGAGGAAGAAGTAGCACAAGTCGTCGCCGGCCCAGGAACATTCGTGCGGGCTGAAGTAGAGTTGCCATACACAGCAACAGCAGCAGTGGCAGCAGCAAAAGGCATGGCCAGAGCGACGTGCAGCGTGGTGCCGTGACCCTCTGTGCTGATCAGCCCTATGTTGCCCCCCATCAGCGACACCTGCCACGGGGGGTGGGAGGGAGGGGAGAGGAGGAGGTACGGGGAGGAGGTGTGGGGATGAAGTCACATCCGGCATCTCCATGTGGATGAGTGTAAATGAGTGTGACTGTGCAGCGCGGTCAGATCATGGAGAGCTGGAAGCAAATATCTTGTTAAGAGTTAACATTTGCAGAACGTGCATGAAAGGGCGATAAGAGAGTTCTAATGGTCTCAGAAAGTACCCCGTTGAATTGCCTATAAAGACCTGGCCACCCTGCTAGAACTGTTAGTAATACATGGCAACTGTTAACAAGACATGGCAACTGTTAATAAAACATGGCAATTGTTAATAAGACATGGCAACTGTTAACAAGACATGGCAACTATTAATAAGACATGGCAACTGTTAATAAGACATGGCAACTGTTAATAAGACATGGCAACTGTTAATTAGACATGGCTACTGTTAACAAGACATTGCAACTGCTAGTAAGGCATGGCAACTGTTAAAAAGACATGGCAACTGTTAATAAGGCATGGCAACTGTTAATATGACATGGCAACTGTTAATAATGCATGGCAACTGTTAATAAGACATGGCAACTGTTCATAAGACATGGCCACTGTTAATTGGACATGGCAACTGCAAATAAGACATGGCAATTGCTAATAAGACATGGCAACTGTTAACAAGACATGGCCACTGTTAATAGGACATGGCAACTGTTAATAAGATATGGCAACCGTTAATAGGACATGGCAACTGTTAATAAGACACGACAATTGTTTATAAGACATGGCAACTGTTAATAGGACATGGCATCTGTTAATAAGACATGGCAATTGTTAGAACGACATGGCAATCATTAAGAATACATGGCAACTGTTAATAAGACATGGCAACTATTAATAAGACATGGCAACTGTTAATAGGACATGGCAGCTGTTAATAAGATATGGCAACTGTTAATAAGGCCTGACAATTAGTAAAAGAAATGGCAACTATTAATAAGACATGGTAACTATTAATAAGACATGGCAACTGTTAATAGGACATGGCAACTGTTGACATGGCAACTGTTAATAAGACATGGCAACTGTTAATAAGACGTGGCAACCGTTAATAGGACATGGCAACTGTTAATAAGACATGGCAACTATTCAGAAGACATGGCAACCGTTAATAAGACATGGCAACTGTTAATAAGACGTGGCAACTGTTAATAGGACATGGCAGCTGTTAATAAGACGTGGCAACTGTTAAGAAGACATGGCAACTGTTAATAAGACATGGCAACTGTTAATAAGACATGGCAGCTGTTAATAAGACATGGCAACTGTTAATAGGACATGGCAACTATTAATAAGACATGGCAACTGTTAATAAGACATGGCAATTGTTAATAAGGCCTGACAATTGGTAAAAGAAATGGCAACTATTAATAAGACATGGCAACTGTTCATAAGACATGGCAACTATTAATAAGACATGGTAACTGTTGACAAGACATGGCAATTGTTGAAAATGACTCACCAGCTGTCGGCACAAGTGCAGGCTCATGCCGCTGCCTCCATGCGCACGGGTCTGATGGGTTGGGTGGAGTGAGAAGCAAGAGAACGGGCGACTCAGAGTGTTGGGAAACTAGAGTGCAAATGGACGACTGTGTGCCTCTTTAGTGCGTCTGCTTGAGCGGTAAATGTCGCCTCTCCATCGAGTCCTCGATTCGAGTTGCATCAGGTGTGTGGCATGAGGCGAGTTGCATGAGAGGCAGGACTCACCTGCATGAGGGGCAGGACTCACCTGCATGAGGGGCACAGCTCACCTGCATGAACGCCTTAGTGCCTCTACGCACATACTCAGAGCTCACCTGAATGAGGGGCAGGGCTCACCTGCATAAACGCCTGAAACACGTCGCGCTGCTCCTCCTCTGCGATGCCACACCCCGTGTCCTCACATGTCACCAGCACCATACACCACTTGCCAACTCCACCCTCCGCCTCCCTTCCCTCCTCTCTTCCCTGACCATGCCACCACCACCCCACTGCTCCCCTCCACCAGTCCATACCACCCCCCCCTGGTGCTGTCCTCCTTGCTTCACTCACAACGTCCCCCCCACGCACTCCTGCTCCATGTTCACATGGCCCCTTGTCAAACATTATATATGTGTTATTGCTGTATAGGCTATAGTGGGTTAGCCTTTAGGAGGTACACAGCTCTAGGGTTTCATACTTGTACTCCAATGTTTCATAGTTCAATCACTTCTTGGATTCTGACATGGTATTAAGAGCTTAGGTTCTAGACCTAAGGGCCCACCGTTCCGCTAGAGGTGCCCTCGTGCGCCCTTTTTTTAGCGCCCTCGTGCGCCTCTCCCCTAGTGCGCCCTCGTGCGCTCTCCTCTCACGCTGCCCGTGTGCAGCCCGCTAGCAGCCCGAGCGCGGCCCCGCCGTTTTAGCGCGCGTAGGAAAACCGCCGCCTAGGGCGGCCCGATTTTTTCTCGCGAGCCCCAGCAGGCCGTCGCTCGTAGGCCCCGCTCGCCCCTAGGCTGACGCGCGACCCACAGCCGCCCGCCCGCAGTCGCCCGCCCCTAGGTTGCAGCCAGCGCGCCGCGGCGATCGCGCGTCGGCTGCTGCAGCTCGCGCTTAGCCGCCGCTAGAACGCAGCCGCGGCCCGCGCGCAGCTGCACCCTAGGCGCCGCCGCGCACCGAACCTAGGCCCGCCGTCGCGCCGCCTTACCTGCCCGAGCCGCGTCGCCCGAGTCGCGCCGCCCGAGTCGCGCCGCCTGAGTCGCGCCGCCCTGACCGAGCCGCGCCGTCCTGACCGAGCCGCGCCGCCCTACCTGCTGCACCTGCTCCTCCTGCTCCCACTGCTACTGCTGCTACTGCTACTACTGCTACTACTACTGCTACTACTGCTACTACTACTGTTACTCCTGCTACTGCCACTATGGCCAGTCCCACTGTTCTCACCTTTGACGCCGAGGGCCGCCCGATTAAGTTCGATGTCTGGCTTGATGACCTTCACCTGTACCTCCAGATCACTGTCAAGGACGATGTTTCCCTCTATGACCACACGTCCGGCGCTGCTCCCGCACCTCCCACTACTGCTGACATTACTGCTCGCTCCCAGTGGCAGACCCGTGATGCTCACGCTCGCCTAGCCGTTCGCAGCCACCTGCCGTTAGATGAGCGCGAGCACTTCGGCCAGCATAAGACCGCTAAGGAGCTGTACGACGCAGTAGTCGCACGCTACTCCTCCCCTGCCACTGCTGCTATAGGCCGTCTCTCACTGCCCTACCTCTTCCCCGACCTGTCCGCGTTTGCCACTGTAGCTGACCTCATCACCCACCTCCGTACCAGTGACCTCCGCTACCGTGCCGCGCTCCCCCCCGATTTCCTCGCCAAGAACCCCCCCCCCGACGTACCTCACACTGTACCACCTTGTCACCCGCCTCCCTGACTCCCTTCGCACTGTCAGGGACCAGTTTCTCGCCCTCTCCCCCACTGACTTCACTGTCGACCTCCTCGAAAAGGAACTCCTAGCAGCTAAGAAAAGCATTGTAGCTGTAGGTGCCTCTCGTGGTGACCCCCGCACCCCCTTCTTTGAGGGGTGCTCCCCCTCCCCCCTCCTCCCCTCCATTGCATCTACTGCTGCTGTCGACTACCTCGGAGCTGAGGGGGTCGGGGCCGTGTCTGCTCCTAGTGGGAGGCGCAAGGGCGGCAGGGGCAAGGGGGGCAGGGGTGGTGGAGGTGGAGGCGGGGGCGGCGGCGGTGGAGGGGGTGGGGGGGGCGAGGGTGGTGGCGGGGGTGGAAGTGTCGCGGGTGGTGGGGGGGTCAGTGGTGGCACAGGGGGTAGTGGCGGCGGCGGTGGTGGGGGTGGTGGGGGCGGTGGTGGCAGTGGTGGCGGCGGTGGAGCGGGTGGCGGGCGCGGTGGAGCGGTGCAGCGTGGGGGGTTCGGCGGTGGCCAGAGGCAGCAGCAGCAGCAGCGTCCCGGCGAGACTCCCTCGCCCCAGCAGCTCCGTGAGTGGTACTTTCAGCGTGGGGGGTCTGGGGGTGGAGGTACCTGCCCGTACGTCATCCGCACAGGTGACCGCACTGGCCAGACTTGTGGGAAGTTTCACACGGCGCAGCGCTGTTTCTTTCGCCTCGACGACGCCTGGCGCGAGTAGTTCCCTGGCGCCTCTGAGCTGCCCCGCTGGGCTGATCTGCTTAGGAAGGGGATTGATATCTTTGCTCTTGATTATGATGCTATCCTTGCTGCTATGTATGCATTGACTATTAGTGTTGAGGGTGACTGTTTCCTGAGTGTACCGCCCGACCCAGGTATTGGGACCAGTGAGGCTGCAGCTCTAGGTGCTAGCGCGTCTGCTGCTCCAGGTCCTGGTGAGGCTGCTGCCCTAGGTGCTAGTGCGTCTGCGTCTGCTGGTACCGCACCTGAGGCACTGCACACCTTCACACTGGACTCAGGTGCTTCCCGCTGTTTGTTTCGCGACCGCACTGCCCTAGAGCAGCTCCCTAGACCGGTTGCTGTCTCCCTGGCTGACCCCTCAGGGGGTCCGGTTCTTGCGACCTCCACCACTGCCCTCCCTTGTCCTGCTGTCCCGTCTGGCACGCTGTCGGGCCTCTACCTCCCCTCGTTCTCTACGAACTTGGTGGCGGGTTCCGCGCTCCAGGACGCGGGTGTTCACCAGTTCACCCCGGCCTACGAGCGTGTGACGCACTGCACGTGTGCCCGGACGGGTCGTCACCTGGCTACCTTCACTCGGCAGCCGGGGTCAGACTTGTACACACTAACCACTGAGTCCCCTCAGGTAGCTGCGTCTGCGTCTGCGTCACGTCAGCTGTCGGCCCCCTGCTCGTGTCGCTCCCTGTCGCACAGGACTGTCCTCTGGCACCACCGCCTTGGTCACCCGTCAGTGCAGCGCCTTCGCGGCATGCACTCCAGGTACCTTGTCTCTGGTCTTCCCAGAGTTCTCCCGCCCCTGCCACCCTCGCCTGCTCCTCCCTGTCTTCCC